TCTGCAGAGAAATATGAAGAATGGGAATAAGAATTCGATCTTCGAAAACTGCCATGAAACTGCGTCTCAGGAGATTTATTTACGGCGATGCGGATTCGCCTTACAAGACGATCCTCCAGATTCCGATCCATCCATCGTCGGAGTCTCGCCACCGTTAAACGACGGCGTTGCATCTCACCGTGCTTCCGATGATTCCGATAGTGTAGTCGCTTCGGGTTACGAAGCGGTGGAGAATCAAGCGATTCGATTCGTTTCTCCGGAGCCAAGCACAGACACCGCTGAATCAGAGGAGGATGCGGCGAGAGATCGGACGGTTCTCGTTGAATCAGAGGAGAATGCGGCGAGAGATCGGACGGTTCGTGTTGAATCAGAGGTTGATGTTGATTTGGTGTCGAATCAAACATGGTCGTCATCTTCAGGTGAGAGATTGGAGTCTCCTTGGAAGGTAAATGGAGGAAAGAAACTGAAAATTCCTTTGAGAGATGTAGTGAAAGCCATAGTTATGAATTCAAGGAACAACATTGAGGAAGAAGAAGAAGATAGAGTGATTGAGAAGATGAGCTATGTGCAATTCCTTGCTCAAAATGGATTCAAATTCCCTTGAAGAATACAAAACCCATCAGGAATTTTAAGGTGAATTTGATTTAATCACATTGGTTCTTGTCTTGGACAATTGAATATCAAATCAGAGAAGTTTAGTGTGTCTGAATCATTGTTCTTAGTTGAGGTAAAAAGGCTGAATCTTTTTCCAGTTTCTTCTCTACTTTAATAGACAAGTCTCTGGTTTGATGTTTGGTAATTTCTTGAATCTTGGTCAGATGTTTTTGTTGCAAGCTTACAAAGTTATTTGCGAGTGTCATGTTCATGCTACATTGATCCTCTCTAATCCTGTTAGATTCATCTACACTTTAAAGTCTCGAAATTCGCTTTCCGTTTGTTTATGAGTTATGAGTATGTCAAAGTACTTGTGTCGTAATCTATGAGATTTGTAAATAATCTGAAATGAATCTTTGTTATGTTGCTCTCAAGTTAAGCAAAAATTTATTGTAATTATAAATCTGAGAATGTCTCCTTTGTTATTAATCTTGTTTTCTAGTACATCACACAACACTAGACGATACTTAAGATTATTGTTTCTCCCACATGAAAAAAATATAAAAAGGCACTCTACAATTCATCTTCTTTGCCCTTGTAGTCTTCACTTAACTCCCCCAAAGTAAAACTGTCAGATTCTTTTCACCTCCAAGAATGTAATTTACAGATTAAAGGAGGTGTTTGCACTTTCTTTGTTGAGATTCTAACGCTTCACATCGAAAGAGCTGCGTAGAGAAGCTGGTTCCAAGTATCAGGCAAACCAGGGAGGCACCAATGGCTACAATCGTTTCCTCCATCGCCGCCATAAGTAGAAGGATGAGCATCTTTTCTCAGCTGAGATAAAGTGGTGATATCGAGCAAGAACACAGGCCTTTTCATCGTTTTCAACACTTTCGACACAATTGCTGCAGATGGAGGCTGGCCGCTCGGGTAACTTGATCCGCCTAATGGCTGCAATTGCCCGTTACAGTTCTTCCTCGGCTCGTTCCATTCCCTTCCCCTACAAGAAATATGATAAATTGATATAGGTTTGTGTTTGAAAGCTATTTTCTCAAACTGTAGATAAACACAAGTAGTCTTCTTCTAATCAAAACTTATTTGTTAAACACTTGCAAAATATTTTTATATGTAACCGAACATGCAAAATTAACGTTTGAATCAATCCTATTTTAAATGGACTTACTCATAATGAGTGGGAGAAATGCCTTGGAAGAAAACTCGAGTTCTGGTAGTATCGACGTTTTGATCAACNCATCGACCCCAAGTGCTAAGTCCTTTGTAGAAAGCGTCAAGACGGTTCATGTCTCTCACCAAAGACGATCCATCTCGAATGTAATCCCACCTAAATTCAAGAAAGATGAAAAAAGATTCAACGTTAAGGTTTAAAATTGGGTTTTAATTAGACTAAAGATGTGTATGATTAATAAATGGTACGGACCCTTGAGCTTTGCCTTTGTGAGTCCACCAATGCCAAGAATTGAAAACAAGAACGTCCATGTTCTTCCATATATTAGCACCTCCATCAATGGCTCCAAGGTTAAGTACATTTCCTTCTTTCTCTCTTGATATATCCACTATGTATGGTGTTCTATATAGGTATAACGTCACTCCATATTCCTGTTTTTTTTTTTAATATAAGAATGTAATACATAAGATTTGGATTTTTATAAGAATATTTCAAGATATCTATTTCCATTAAAAGGAAGAGAATTATTAAATGAAAGAAAAGGTTTTTGTAGAACAAAGAGAATAGTGGAAAAGTAGACAGAGGGAGCAAATAAGAACAAGTTGGACTGTTGGAGTTGTTAGTGTACTTCCTTTACGTATTATGTTCTTTTTTCTTTGTTTTTATTGTAATTTATGGTATATTTGTTTTTAAAAACTTTAAAAAGTAATACCAGGAATAAAAAAAGAGAGACAAAATTTCACAGTGTACTATTTATTTAAAATTTTAAATAAAGAAAAAGAAAAAAGTTTGGAGGTCCATAGCTTTCTACTACATTGAGTGAAGTAGACATGACATTTCGTATTGTTTTCAGTTTCGTAATTGATGAATGATGACAAAGAACTTTGCGCAATTCTGGTAAAGATAAAAATTAGCTTTCGAAATGAATAAAAACAAACCAAAATATGAAAAAATTGTACG